TCCGATCTTTATATTCTCCCTATATTTTTTAACCAACTGAAATATTTAAGATCATTAATTCTTGTTTCAACTGGAATCGCACATATATGGAGAATATAAATTAAAAGAATTATGTAACTCTACCTTTTTATCGGACTTAGGGATATGTATTGGGGACAGAGACCGCATATATTGAATGGTATTTTGTATTGACAGAAAATCAAGAGAAGTCATACAAAACGGTTTACAACTTATATATACAGATAAAAAACAGAAAAATAACAATCTAAAATATGACGGTAGGCTTGACTAGAGAGCTAAATATCTAATACCCCCTCAACAAGTTGGCAAATAGATATTTAAAGAAGCCAACTTGCTGTTGAATCTTTTGAAGAGTGGTTGTGATAATGCTTTTGTAAACATATCAGCAATTTGATCTCTGCTTTAACATGTATCAATTTGATACATCCTTCTTCAACTAGCTCTCTGATGTAGAGGTGATCTATATCAATGTGTTTTGATCTTTTGTGTAATCCTGGGTTTGTTGCCAAAGAAATGGCAGATTTATTATCACACAGTAACATAGCGGAGGAAATGTGTACTTCAAAGTGTGTAAGAAGTCTTTGTAGCCAAATTAACTCACTAGATGCAGCAAAGATAGACCTGTATTCAGCCTCAGTAGATGATTTGGATACTGTGTTTTGTCTTTTAGACCTCCAAGAGATTAAGGATTCTCCTAGAAAAATGGCAAATCCTGTAGTCGATCTTCTTGTATTGAGGCACCCTGCCCAATCTGCACCACTATAAACAGTCAACTTAAGTTTTGAATCAGATGGGAATAAAATGTCTTTTCCAGGTGTGCCTTTTAGATACTGCAGTAGATGATGGATAGCCTTAAGATGAGTACTTCTTGGACTTTGCATGAATTGACTTAGCTTATGAACAATGTACGTTATATCGAGTCGTGAGATGGTAAGATACAGAAGTCTTCCGATAAGCCTTCTATATAGAGATGGATCTGGTAACAGATCACCTGCTTCAATAGTGAGGATGGTATTTGGATCCATTGGCAATACAGTTGGTTTGGAGGCTAAGTAACCAGTTTCAGAAAGAAGTTGCAACACATACTTCCTTTGATAGAGATTTATTCCCTTTGTACTTCTAGCTATCTCCAAACCTAGGAAGTATTTGAGATTACCAAGCACCTTTAGCTTGAAATGTTTCTATAAGGAGGTTTGTACTTGATGTATCCTGGCAGTATTGGGACCTGCGATTATGATATCATCAACATATACAATTAAAATGACAAGGTTTGAACCATTACCACAAGTGAATAATGAGTAATTATGTCTAGATTGAGTGAAGCCGAGACACTTGAGTGTGGAAGAAAACTTGTTAAACCATTATCTGCTTGCTTGTCGTAAATCGTATAACGACTTCTTTAACTTGCAAACAAAGTGTTTTCTTGACGTGGGGTGTCCTGGAGGTAGCATCATGTATAATTCTTCATGTAGGTCTCCATTTAGGAAAGCATTACTAGTGTCAATTAGAAATAGGTTCCAACCTTTAATGACAGCAACAACAAGAAGTGTTCTGATTGTTGTCATTTTAGCCAGAGGAGAGAAAGTGTCTGAGAAGTCTATTCCAGGCTGTTGTGTATAGCCTTTTGCCACTAATCTGGCCTTGAGTTTGTCTATTGTGCCATCTGGATGGTATTTAACCTTACATACCCATTTACAGCCTATGCATCTCTTTCCTTTAGGTAATCTTGCAAGTGTCCAGGTATCCTTTTCTTCAAGAGCTTGTAATTCTTTGCTTATGGCTTCTCTCCATTCAGGAAATTTCAATACTTGGTGATAGAATGTTGGCTCATAAATTGATGTGACTTGGCCAATGAAATTTTTGTACTCGGCTGACAAATTATCATAAGTAATGTATTCTTGTATGGGATCTAGAACTACATTGTTACAGTCATATGCTTCTAAATATGCAGGTTTGTTTGAAGTTCTAGAAGATTTTCTTGTGCCCGGTAAATATGTAGTAATGAGATAAGTTGTTGATATTGATCTGTTGTAAATTGGAATGACTTATCATGTGTGTCTGAAACTTGATTGACAACATTGCTTGGACATCCCTTCTTTAGATGTGCAGGGTACCCATGAAGCTTGAAGCATTTGTCCTTGGTATGACCAAGTTTATGACAATCACTAATGCAAAAATTGGATTTAAAATCGGAGTTTTAAGATTGGTTACAAGGTAACCGATCTTAAAAGTGACGCGGTGGCAATTTTGTAAATAACATGAACACTTTTAAGATCGGTTATAAAAGAACCGATCTTAAAAGTAGTACTTTTAAGATCAGTTACAAAAGAACCGATCTTAAAAGCACTTTTAAGATCGGTTATGAAAGAACCGATCTTAAAAATGGTACTTTTAAGATCAGTTATAAAAGAACCGATTTTAAAAGTGGCACTTTTAAGATTGGTTCTTTTATAACCGATCTTAAAAGTACCATTTTTAAGATCGGTTCTTTCATAACCGATTTTGTATGTAGTATACAAAATCGGTTCTTAATTAACCGATTATTGTCAGAAATATTTTATATTCCCCTTCATTCTCATTTTCTTTAATCTTTCTCATTTTCTAAAGTCTCCAGGTAAATTTCATTTTCATTTTCATCTGCTTATGTTCTTTTTGTGTCTCTTTTCGTTTTCTCATGCTTTTCTCGTCTCAATTTTCATTGTAGGTTCATTTTGGGAAAATTTCGCAACTGGAACGGCCCGTTCTGCAAGGAGAACGGCCCGTACTCCTTGGAGAACGGCCCGTTCTCCAAGGAGTACGGGCCGTGCTCCATTGAGAACGGGCTGTTCTTCAAGGAGAACAGGCCGTTCTCCCTGGAGAACGCCTGGTACTTCAAGTGAACTTTTAAGCCTTTTGATCAGACTGGAACGGCCCGTTCCGGTTTTGGAACGGGCCGTTCCAGTTTAATTTTTTTTCACGGCCAGCCTTTTAAGATCGGTTATAAAACAACCGATCTTAAAAGTTAACTTTTAAAATCGGTTAAACAACCGATTTTAAAAGTCTAACTTTTAAAATCGGCTCTTTCAAAATCGGTTACAAAACCAATTTTAAAAGTAAAAAATAACTGATTTTAAAAGTCTTTTTTCCACTAGTGAATGTTCACACTTGGACCTGTTTTTGTTAGAATTGTCGTTGGATCCTGATTTGTATGCAAAGGCTGCTGGTGTTTCATTGAAATTTTCTGCAATTCCAATTTCTTGTTGTTTCTCCTCTTGCATCACTAGAGAGAAAACCTTTTCTATGGATGGAATTGGGTCCATTAACAAAATCTGCCCTCTGATATGAGAATAACCCTCATTTAATCCCATCAAGAACAACATGACATATTCAGATTGATGATAATCAACCCAAGGTTTGATACCACCACAATCACAAGTGTGTGGGGGTTTATATTCAGCCAATTCTTCCCATAAGGCTTTGATCTTGGTAAAATAGTGAGTGATAGAAAGTGAACCTTGTTTCAAAGTCATCAAATCGAGTCTCAATTGAAAAACGCATGGACCATTTTGCTGCTGAAATCGTATCCGAAGATCATTCCATATGGCTGCAGCGGAAGACGAATAGATTACACTTGCTTGAAGATCCTTCGAGATCGAGTTTAATAACCAAGAAGCAACGATATTGTTGTTTCATTTCCAAGAATGGAAAGATTTGGCAGTTTCCTTTGGCTTAGGAATCGTTCCATCGACGAATCCGATTTTGTTCTTTCCTCCAAGGGCCATTAAGATTGCTCTGCTCTAGGAATTGTAGTTATCACCATTTAATGGTTGTGAGACGATTTTGCGTAATCATCGTTTGGAAGGGATGATGAATCTCTCACATCAGCCATTACGACAAACTAAAACACGGAGAAGATGGGGATGGATGAACAGCAACAGAATGGAGGAGAAAATTATTCTTCTAATACCATATTAGAAACAGAGACCGCATATACTGAATGGTATTTTGTATTGATAGAAAATCAAGAGAAGTCATACAGAACGGTTTACAACTTATATATACAGATAAAAAACAGAAAATAACAATCTAAAATATGACAGGTAGGCTCGGCTAGAGAGCTAAATATCTAATAATATGTAACAGCAGGAGACCATTTTCCTCTTTATACATAACGATAACAATAATTAGATTTAATTTTCATTAAAATAAGATAATGCATGTATTAAATACATAAAATAAATCTTTGTCATAATTAATTTTAGGTGAGATAACTATTTTAAAAATTATGAATAATTTATTTAATTAATTAGAGTTAATCATTTTTAATAGATAGTTTATTATTATTTTTATATGTAATTGACTCTCAAATTCAATTTTTTTATACAAAAACTATTTTCTTTTAAAGTTTTTTCTACTATTTTTTTTATAATAAATATTAGTGGTGATTCTATTTTTTCAATTTATTTTCATCATCCCTGCGTGATCTGAACGCCATTTCCTTTCTTCCTTCATCTAAACCAAGCACCACAATTTTGACAAGGACACATGGATTTGGATACTATAATTTGTTTAAAATTGAAAAAAAACAAAATCTATAAGAAATTAATTGTTTAAAAATATGTAGGAGTTGCATTTTTTTTAAAATAAAATTATTTTTTGAAAGCAGTTTAGATAAAAATAATAATATAAACAAACACATAAAAAGTAGAAAAATGTTTGTTTTATTAAAAAGGTGAATTTTTAAAAGTGTAAATCTTTAACTTTGTCATCATATGACCATTAAATGTGAATTTTGTAAATTCAATCGTTAGATTGAAAATTCATATCACTTTATATATTTATATCAAATTTTGTTAAAATTGAAAATCACTTGAAGGTAATCAAAATGTTCATATTTTAGTATATTTTAAAATGTATATATTACGTCAATTTTGTTTTATATGGATGAAGTATCAAATTATTTTGAATTAATATAAAATTTTGTATATATGATCTAAGAGTAAAGAACTTTCAATTTAACGGTTGGATTTACAAAATTCACATTTAATATAAAGTTATTGAGTGATGTAATACTTAGTAAAAGTTACACTAGTGTTATTATAACTCTCCTCTTAAGAAATTTGGATTTCTCAATCTGCCAATTATGTGAAAAAGGCAGATAATAATTAATATGTTCAATTCAAATTTATTTGCAACTTACCCCAATAGACCTTGCTTCCTCATTGACACAAGAGCTATCTTTTTTTCTTGTGAGTTGCAATATATAGTTCACCTCGACTCACAACATGTCTAAGCTCTTGTTCCTAATAAAAATGACAATATAATTCTAAATAAACAATATAAATAATTTTTTATTAGGGCTCAATAACTGAAGACAAATATTTACCATCTCTTGTTATTTCATAGACAACAATTTTGCAACACCGGTAGGCACTAGGATATCTAATACTACATAATATTCCTGACTTGAAGATCCAAGAAAAATACTCTCCATCCCATTGCAACAAATGGAATATGAATGTAGCCCTCTTGGCTGGGAATTCTACCACCAGGAAGAGGTGTGTTTGCTACTTTTCTAAATGCCTTAGTCAAAGTGAATGTGAATTGATCCATGTGAATGATCTCTTAAGCAGGGTGATCAAGGAGAGAGATGAAGCTGAAGCAAAATATATTTACTATGGGATAAAATATCCTTCAAAATTCTATAATATTGATTAAGCTGGAAAAAAATTTCATATTAATTAGTACATGCAATCAATGATATGTGCTTTTAAATTTAATTATATTTTAAGAATTTAAATTTATAGTATTTCTCAAATAATTATGGCCAGTGCTATTTTTTTTTTTCTTTTGCATTTCAAAGTGTTGTCAATCAAACACAATGTTATCAAGAAAAAAAAAAAACGTAATTAACAAATGTAGAACATGAAAAACTAGATATAAAAATTATATCCACAATCCTTCCCCTGTTTTGGTTCTCACAAATACATCAAAACTCCCTAACTTATTAACAAGTAAAATGTGTAAACAAGCACCTTGATTAGAA